TTATACATGTTATATATAATGACACAGTCTCCATATATATATATGTAAATAAATGAATGAAAGGATGAATGAATAAGTAAATAAAATGTATATGGATTTGTTTGGGCTGTGTACAGACATGTGACATATGGGTTTGCCAAAAAAACTTGGGATAACCTGGGGTATGTCCTAAATCCACTGCTGTAGTCATTCATTCAATTCAACTGCCATTGCCCGAGTATTCTCCACTTTCCTGGCGCCGTTTAAAACGCACGTTCCGGTCACGGGCCCCGAGCGCCCCCATCTGCCAGGTGCCTTGTCCCCTCGAAGCCAGCCCGAAGGGCTGTGTCTAGGAAAAATGACCGCTTGCGGAGACATCTCAATGAAGGTGGAATCTGGGACCCACCAATACCAAAGGCTACCTGGGAGAAAGGATGGAAAATTATGAGTTAGGACAGTTAGGATGTGTTGTACTTGGGATCTTTGCTTCGCTTATGGCTTTTTCTGGGAATTGCCTCCCCCAGAGTTGGATGGATACTGATAATGTGTAAGTCGCGCCCCAATTTTGACCCGCAACGATTTCGAGCACCACCCAGCTGCGATAGCTTTCCACATGCTGCTTCCACTTCTTTGATATCGTGATGGCAGATGGGATCGAATACCTACAGCGAAATTTGACTGAGCGGGAGCTATTGGCTGCAAAATCACATGGACACAAAGTGCATTTAAGCAAGCACAGGCAAATCATCAATGAATATCACCACACTTGAAACATGATTGAAAGCTCAATTAAACGGCTCTAACAGCATCAAACGTATATCATGACAAGCAAACTTACAAACATGTGATTCTGTACATACATACATATACAAAAACTGTAACCGCTGTAACCAATGTATCATGATTTTGAAATAAACTCACCACGAACACCATTATATAATTGGACAAACGCGATCATATTTATATATAGACATACTATTTCAAGTACAAAGACAACAAGTGATTCTGCACCTGTAAGCATGTCAACCAATGGATTTCTTAACATGCTGAAAAACACTGTAAGATTTAAGGCCCATAGTGTTCCTCACTTCAGAAAGGGATGTCCTGGGACTTCTGGAGGGATGAGAGGCTTGGCACAAAAATAATGATGAAGAATAGCTGAGATTTGTTTGATAAGGTTTGTTTGTTTTTTGATTTCTTTCCTGGTGCCAGTTGCTCTGTATTTGCAGCAGTTTGGAACTAGAACCTGTCATTTTGCATGGTATTCATATTGTTTGGCATCTCAACCTTTCATTTTGTATGGTATTTGCTACATGTTGGTACTTCAAACATTCATGACCTCTCATTTTGCATGGTATTTGCTGCATGCTGGTTCAAAAATTCGTGTGGGTTTTCATTTAGGTATTTTGGCTCTTGAAGGTTTCTTTAGGATGTCATTTAGGGCTTGTTTAGGGTGTCATGTAAAGTGTCTTTAGGATGTCATTTAAGGTGTCTTTAGGGTTTCTTTTGGGCTTCATTAAGGATTTTTTGGGGGTTTCATTTAAGGTTTCTTTAGGGTTTCATTTGGGATTTATTTATATAGGGTGTCATTTGTCTTTAGGGTTTCAGTTAGGGTTCCGTTTACTCTAGGGTTTCACAGGGCTTCATTAAGGATACAAACTGAAGAGAATAAAGCAACAGAAAAAGAAAAGCAAAGAGACAGTAAAGAAAGGAAGCAGAGAAGCAAGCGAGCAGGAAGAAGTAGAGCAGCAAAAACGCATGACTGCAGAAAATAGAAGTAGAAAGCACAGGAAAAGCAGAGAAGCAGGAAAAGCAAAAAGCGGAAAAGCAGAGAAGCAGAAAAGATAGAAGCAAGAAAAGCGGAGGAGCAGAAAAGCAAAGAAGCAGGAAAAGCAAAAATATAGAGGGGGAGGGGGAGGGAGGGGGGCAGAACTAACCCTTGGAATTACTTTTTTTGGCTTGGAAACCTTAGGATGATGATCCAACCCCGTGAAATGAAATGTTTAAAGGAAATTTCTTAACAAGCCTTGGGCACTACAAGCTGCGCTTGCGGGAAGCATGTAAGCGACCGCTAGCAATTGATATCTCTTAGCTCTGATTAGTTAAAATACTGCCGCTATGCTCCGGAGGAGCTAAGCACAGGTGTGATGATGGCAGCGCAATTTTTGGAGGGGTGCAACCCCTAAATATATGCCGCTGCAGTCTGACATGTGCTTAGCTCCTCCGGAGCTAAGCGCAAGTACTTAATTCTCATTTGCTTGCAAATGACATGGAATGACGCGGACTATTGATCATTGAGAAAACATGATCGAAAAAATGAAAAATTGAAATAAATTTTCAGTACGACGCCCCCCTCAACTTTCATCTTTGGGAGAGTAAAGATGGAAAAGCAAAAAAGCGGAGAAGCAGAAAAGCAGAAAAGCAGAGAAACAGGAAAAGCAGAAAAGCAGAGAAACAGGAAAAGCAAAAAAAGCAGAAAAGTAGAAAAGTTGTGAAGCAGGAACAGCACAAAAACAGGAATCCAAAAAACATCCTAAGCCTTATCATAAAACCGAAAATAAATAGTCCCCCAACACATGTCAAGTTTTGTCTCTGAACTAAAAAACATGAGAAACCACTATGCTTCACCAAGTTCATTCCAGAATATGGATTTTCTAACATTGTCGGTTATTAGGATTAGTTCAGTAGTCATCCATTTCATGTTGAATACCTTCATGGAACTACATAATGTCGCTTTCAGGGGTCAAACAAGCATCTGATGATGGGTTCCACCCAAATACATCATACCAAACCCATTTGTGAAGGCATCCACTCGTCACAGCATCCATGAAAAAATATCCTGCGTCATACAATTTGTGGACAAACCAGTACGAGTACAATCAATGTGCTTAGAGGACTTTCCAGTTCATTGTGTTCATAATATTCGAGTCCTAACTGCACTTTGCAACGAGGACGGTTTGTTACCAGGACACGCGGCAGACCATTGCATCATGGGCTGAAGAAGCCAGCCAGTCCCAGCCGTGAAGAGCGGTATACATGCCGGAAATGATCCACGACACGAAGGGGATTCCCTTAGGACTGCCAAGAAATCTGAGTCTGCCTCTCCAGTTTCATGCTGTCGATCTGAATCTATGAATCATCCAATGTCATCAACGCATACGGAACAGTCTGGCCTGACATATTAGACTTGTTTTTGTCGGATATGTGTGTATGTGCGTGGGGAACGAGAAGCTGTCATCTCGATCAACGAAAAAGTGGCTACAGAACAGAATCAAATTCGAGGAACCCACTCCTTTTTCACATCAGAATAGCCGGCACCTATGGATGTTCATACCCCAAAGGCATGTTTTTCTTGTGGTATGAACTATGGGTCGTACCACTCCCTGAATGGCATTGCCTCAATTATCCCGGCAAGAGACCCCAAACAGCGTGCAGGAAGGAATTGAAGAAGAATTGGAACAGGAGAAGGAGAAGTGCGCATAGAGGAAAAAGGGGTGTCAAGGTATATAAGAAGACAGCAGCAAGACCTTTTTTCAGAGTCGCTGCAGTCGTCGAAAGGCCTTGTGCGGTTTCGTGCCGCGATTCCGGGTAGAAGCTGCTGTGCGGGATCCCTGTGTAAGGCTATCTGTACAAGGTGTCTATAGGAGCTCTCCACTGAAGATTTTTGTAAGGGATCTCAAAGTACGATTTCTGTTCAAGCGATCTATAAATTATCTCCAAGCAAGGCCTCTGCTCTCTTCACCAGGTCTCTGTACAAGATCTCCATAAGAGGTCTCCTGGCACCATCTCTGTACAAGATCGCCGCAAGAGCTCTCTTGGCAAGATCTCTGTAAGAGACCGCTTGGCAAGATCTCAGTACAGATCTCTACCAGTAGTACCGCATAAGGCGGTGGCGGAAGTTTCAAAGACAGGAAACTGTGATGCATGGATGGCAGAGCGAATCCACTGATGGACCGAAAGGTGGTTGTGATTTTTGGAGTGGTTGCAGTGGCCACCCCACCCGCAGCTGCAGGATGTAGCGTGGTGTAGCGAAGCGCAATGTAATTGGAGTTGTAGTTGTAGTTGTGGTGCAGCTGATGTTGCTGAAGCTGTAATGTTGTAGCTGAAATGTAGCTGAAGTGGTCGTTGAAGAAATTGTAGTAGCTGTAGTAGCTGTACGAGTTGTAGCTGTAGTTGTAGTTGTAGCTGTAGTTGTAGCTGTAGTGTAGTTGTAGTGTAGATGTAGCTGTAGTCGTAGTTGTAGTTGTAGTGTAGTTTGCTGGTAGTGGTAGTCCTAGCTGTAGTTGTAGTGTAGTGGTAGTTGTAGCTGTAGTTGTAGCTGTAGTTGTAGCCCAGTGTAGTGTAGTGTAGTGGTAGTTGTAGTTGTAGTGTTGTAGTTGTAGTGTTGTAGTTGTAGTTGTCGTGTAGATGTATCGTAGTTGTAGGTGTAGTTGCAGTTGTAGTTGCACTTGCAGTTGTAGTGTAAGTGTAGTTGTAGTTGTGCTTGTACTTCTACTTGTAGTTGTAGTAGTTGTTGTAGTTGCTGTAGTTGCTGTAGCTGTGGTAGCTGTTGTAGTTGTAGTTGTAGTTGCGGTTGTAGTTGTAGTGCTGTGTAATGGTAATTGTAGTTGTAGTTGTAGTTGAAGCGTAGCTGAAGTCGTAGCCGTAGTTGTAGCTGTATTGTAGTTGTAGTTGTAGTTGTAGTTGCAGTTGTAGTTGTAGTTGTAGCTGTACTGTAGTTGCAGTTGTCTATCTATCTGTCTATCTGTTTATCTCTCTATCTGTCTGCCTGCCTATCTAGCCATCTTTCTGTCTATCTATCTATCTGTCTATCTGTCTATCTGTCTACTTGCAAGCTTGAAAACGAAGCAATTCTGCCAGACTTCCTCAGTTTTTGAAGTTGGCAACATCAAAAACGAAGCAATTCTGCGAGACGCCCTCAATTTTTGGACTTGACAACGTCAAAAACGAAGCAAGTCTGCAAGACTTCCTCAATTTTCGAAGTTGAGAACCACAAAAACGAAGCAATTCTGCGAGACTTCCTTCAATAATGGAAAGTTGAGTGCAAAGCTGACGGCCTCGTACCAATGCGTTTTGCGATTTTTCCACTCCATCTTTCTAAAGTACTGCACCTGCCACGAAAAAGTGATGCCAGGTCATACGAAGTGCTGCACCTGTCACACAAAATCATCTTCCCAAAACTGAAAGTCTAAGTCTGATGCTCCAAAATGCAACATCTCTCAGGAAATCTCCACCCTGACCTCCTAACATCTCTGATGAACATGTCTCTTGTATTGCGCCTGCCACGCGGCATGCATCTTTGCAGATCCTCTTCACATGTCCCACGCCTGCCAACTCTTTGAAACTGCTACAAAACTTTCACGTTTTTCGCACCTTTAGCAGGGTGCAGAATCCCTTGCGCCTAACAAACAAAACGCTTCAACGTCCACAAGTGGCGCGAACATGTGGTGCTTTGAGCATTTTCACTTCCAAATGTGCTTCGCGCCACAACGACTTGCATTTTTTCAACATCACCATTCCTAAAAGCGCTCCAAAGCTGAGGTGCTTTGTACATTTTGACTTCGACATGTGCTTCGCGCCACAACAGCGTGCACTTTTTCGACATCTCAACTTCCAAAAGTGCTCCGAACCTCGTGTGCTTTGCACATTTTGACTTGGAAATTTGCTTCGCGCCACAACAGCGTGCACTTTTTCGACATCTCAACCTCCAAAAGTGCTCCGGCGTTGAGGTGCTTTGCACGTTGTTAATTCGAACTGTGCTGCACAACGGCGTGCAATTTTACATCTCTAATCTCCCCAGATGGCTCCGCACCCGCCGCTTGAGCGAGCCTAATTTTCGACCCGCCGAAGCCACAAATCATTGGAAAAACACGGTGTTTCCCGACTTTTCTACCTTTTCACGCACCTTCATCTCGTCTCTTCTGACTCGTTCTCTTCTCTGATCTTCTTTCATCTTCTTCCTTCTTCTCTTCTATTCTCTGACTCTTCCCACCTCTGCTTTTCATCTGTCAATAATATTGTCGGAAGTTTGACTTCCAGACTTCCTTCGATAAGAGGTCTCTTGGCAAGACCTCCTGGACAAGATCTCTATAAGAGATCTCTTGGCAAGGTCTCTTCAAGAGATCTCTGTGCAAGCTCTCTATAAAAGCTCTCTTCGCAAGATTTATGTAAGAGACCTCTTGGCAAGATCTCTGCAACAGATCTCTATGCAATGTCTCTGCACAAGGTCTCCAGAAGAGGTGTCCTGGCAAGATCTCCGTACAAGATCTCTAAAAGAGGTCTTCTGGCAAGATCTCCGTACAAGATCTCTATAAGAGCTCTGTTGGCAATATCTCTGTAAGAGGTCTCTTGGCAAGATCTCTGAACAAGATCTCCACAAGAGGTCTCTTGGCAAGATCTCTGTACAAGCTCTCTATAAGAGGTCTCTTGGCAAGGTGTCTGTAGGAGATTTCTTGTTTGGTGCTAGCCTGCGCAGTCGACATGTACATGGGCATGTCACCAGAGCCATTTGATGCGAGAATTTGCAGGAAAAATGCCGCGCCCAGAAGTTAGCCGCACGTTTTGTGCGAGCCTGCGCAGTCGAAATGCACATGGACATGTAACAAGAGCGACTTTATTCGGAAATTTACAGGAAAAATACTGCAGGCCACCGTTTCGTGCGAGACTTCCTTCGAAAACGGAAGATCAGGACACTTTTGTGCTGTAAAGGTCATCAAAAATCCCGCGCACGTCGTATGATACCACCTCGACTGAACACCCGGCTTTAACCCTGACCGTAAGAACCCCTTCAGTGTGGCCACGCTGTTTGGGGAAAAAGTGTGGAACCTCTCTCCAAAGGGCCATTACAACATTTGCGAACGTGATGACAAAAGAACATGAGGGTTCGGGGAGCCAATTTTGACCCTTTTCCCAAAGATGTTATGAATTGTTATGATATGTGCGCGAAATCGACAAAAATCCATGCGGATCCATGCGGGACTGCAAGTTGCTGTGCTGCTGCATATCGTTGCCACAAACTTCAAACATCCGAAACATAAATATTAAACGCTTTACTTTTTGCGCTTGCCTAAGCCAGTGCCCGAACAAGCATTGGAACCTTGCTTTGAACGTATTATCTGCAATTTGCACTGTTTCAAACCTTAACTTCAAACCCTTAACAAACCGGAAAGCCCTCAAAGAACCATGAATAAGCGATCAATCAACCCTACAATCCATCAAATCAACTCTAAGACTGGCCCCAAATAAAACCCGAACACTAGACAAACCAGAATGAACCCTTAATCAACTCGAAATAAACCTCAAACAACCCCAAGTAAATCCTAAAGTGTGCCGACCCGCAATGAAATTCTGGGCCAGCGTCCGCCCCTGGAGGGGATATGTACTAATATGATCTAATATTTACTATGCATTGATTCTTGATAATTCTTCAACATGTTTACACCTAAATATGTTCCCCGAATTCGCCAAATCTTCTTGATATTTCCCCCGAATATGCTTTGATATGGTTTGCATGTAGTTTCTATGGTTCTTAAATGGCCAAGAATCCACCACCGTCCATCAGGGCGACATTTGGCAATGTAGGTACCATCTTCTTGGAGAATGACTCCATCATGATCGCCTGAGAACCTTGGAGACTTTACTGTAACAATCAAGGGGGCCAAATATCAGTTGTATATACAGCCATTTTGGAAGCTTCAAGATTCCATAATAATCATGTTAAATGATGTCAATTTTCAAATTGGGTAGGCTTGAGTTGTTTTTCCCCCTTCAGATGGGGTGCCCCACCACAGCTTGTGGCGCACCAGGTCAGATGAGCCACAAGCTGTTGGCTGGATTTTCTCAGCTTGTTAGAATAAACGTCAGAGTATACATGTCAAATGGGTTAGTCTAAGATGTTATGAAACTCCAATTAATCACCATGAAAAATCACCGCGGGAGTCGTATCCCAGGCGCTTCGCATAGTTCGTCATCGTCACTGGATCTACGAAGAGGCTGTCCTCACACGTCTGAAGCTCCTGGCTGAACCAACCCGCGGGTGTCGAAAACACTGTCGCTAGGTTTTTTGGGAAAAACTGGGAAAATGGATCTGTCTGAAAATTGGGCTACCCAAAAATTGATAGTTTGGGGAAGGAAATGATGATGAACCATCAAATTTGGGGGTACATTATTTTCAGACAAACCCAAATAGACCCACTCACATCACCCAACTGGGAGCACCCCCTGACTTTGAGAGAGGGATGCCAGGAGGGCTCCATTTTCGCAGTGTTTTGTGATTTTGTTCATACTTTATGTTTATATACATAGCTAACCTTTTGTCCTGTCTTTTTTCTATATTTGTTCCTATTACTTTGTTTCTGCTGCATTGCTATTTGTTATATTTCATTTGGTTCTGGCAGCTCATATAGAATAGCAAACCTAGTAGGGGTGGAGATGGAGCCCATATCCTTGGTTCTAATCTACGGTGTTTTTTTTGCAAAAGCAGACTTTGAATAGATCCTTGGCAAGTAGCAAATCCAATCTGTATAGTCATGTGAATATGATTGAATATGCATGTATACACATAGTTGTGTTACAATACCCAAGAACGATTATATAATGAAATATATAAGCTCAGTAAATCTCTATGTTAAACAAGTGCCAATTTTGACATCACCATACAAAGTTGCTCATGCAACTGTATTTCTATTGCTTAGATTTGGTTGTTTCTGAAGTCTAATTACAGCCTTGCAACATCATGGGAGATGCAGGTAGTTTCAGTTGTACAGGTTCTATCAGAGATCAAAACTCTGCAGGACTACTCAAGTTTTATCCCGAGATTCTCCAGTGTGAACCAACACGATGGGCATTCATCACAGATTCATGACAAGAGCCACCCAATAAATGGATAACAAAAGTGTGAGCAGAGATCTGAATAGCTCTACCAAGTGTTATAATCAAGTCCAAGTTCCATCGCAAACTAATAGTGATCATGGAAAGGCATGGGGCAAATCACTCTTCTCACATATGTACAGGGCACTTGTTTTCATGCACATCTTCTGTGAGTGAATGTACTGATCAGCCAATTTGGTTAGCCTGTGGCCAGCGCGATCAAAACAGGAAAATATCTCCAAGGATATGCCCACAGCCGCCATGGCAAGGAGCCTAACGTAAAAAAGTGAAACGATATGATAGCAACAACTTATGCTAACACTTTCGTTCCAATGATAAATTACTGGAAATGTACGCAAATTTTGCAGTTTATTATCAGATTAAGATACTAGCCAGGGAGACCCTAGCTATCTCTTGAATTATCATGCAAGTAATCAATAGAATCAATAGAAGTAATCATTGCACCATGTCATAGGTTGCCATTGTAATGTGTTCGTAGTTTTGACCAATTGTAGCACTATTGGTGGCTCAGAGCCATCAAACTTAAACTTACCAAAGACTATCGAGTTGGACCCAAAGACCTCGATGAGAGTACTAACATGTTATACTCATCCAAAAAAAAATCGAGTTTTGGCATGATGAATCTGGCATTCTTTTAGATAAACGATGATGACTTCCATTGTATTCATATGTATATACATATATATGTCATTATATGTAGTGTTGTCCTTTTTGAGACTTAGTATGTCCTTGCCATACAGTGAAGAAAATCAATAAAATGAACAAACGATAGGAAGATCTCATCCAAGATCAAATGGGTTAGTCATAGTTTGTATTGGTTTAAGGATATTGAGTCTGCAAAATGAAATTGTTAAGTCTATATTTTTTAAAGTAAATGAAAACTAAGTGGTATTGCTCATACTACGCAGTGTATACACCGTTGGGTTGGGGGAATAAACCAAATTGCAAGTGAGTGGAGCCAATTCTCTGTGTAGTAAAGCTAGTTTTAGAGGATCTGGGGGGGAGAACCCCCAAAAAACAGAACAGTTTTTTTGGGATCATCCCCCTTCTCCAGAGCTCTGTAGAGACTATGCAATCTACAGCTGAGAAACTGTCACAGTATTTGCTGCGATTTTGGTGTGGAACTTTATGACAAAGTGGAAGATGGAGCTTCTAGAGAAGAAGAGAATGTAGAAAGGAGATTAGACTAGACAACTAAAAGAACTTCTTCCTGAAGACTAAACCCAATATTACATGTCTAGCATACTGATGTGTTTGAATAACACTAATCCCTTCCCCCTAATACTAAACCCCCCGCTCCCCAAATAATAAACACCTCAGGTATTGTTTATTGTTAGGAGGGTATTTATTATGAGGGAACCAAAGCGGACCCTAATAATAAATTAAAACCCTTAATTAAAAAACTGTTTTTTTCGATTTCAAAATCAATTCAAATTCCTTTTATAACGCAATTAAAATATTGCCGAAAATTTGATTTCGAAGCGGACCCTAAAAATAAGTTTAAACCCTTAATAAAAATTAAAAAAAAAAACTATTTTTTTTCGATTTCAAAATCAATTCAATTTCCTTTTATAACTGTTTTACAGGTGAATCAACCTGAAAGCACCAGCTAGCGCAATTGTTTTCTTGAGCCATTGCATCACGGTATGTAACACATTACACTATGTACAGTTAGTAATACAATCTACAAACACCCCCCGCCGCCCGCAGTTGCGCGGAGGACGGAAGATGTAGCCCGACGGAAGTGACCTGAGATCGGGCAGGGATAAAAGACATCACTGTACAATGAGTTACCTACGGATGCATAGTTGGTCAAAGCTCGGATGCATGAGGCAAAAAGTATAGTCGGGTGCAAATGCATTTTGATGATCCTCGGCAAAGCACGTGCACGGCAACAGCAAAAGTGACATCGGCCTGGCTTCCGCCAAGGCATAGGAGCAATACCACTCCTTTCACAGCCTTGGAAACTTGAAAGCTACTGTATCAGGCCTATGTACACGGCTATATACACGCATGCTACATGGATCGGATGCTGGTGTCAAACTCTTTTTGAAGCAATTGGGAAAGTTTATCAAGTTAATCAAGTTGAAATTTCAAGTTTTGGAAATGTGTGCAATTCGATTGAACTGAATGACCATAGGTCAGCTTTCATCCAATCGGCCAAACCTTCCGGTAGGCATAAAAATCATGGCACAAGATGTGAAACATCTACCAAGATTCAAATTCTACCGTCCCATCATTGTAGGTGCGCTTGAAGTGCGGCTGGCCGTTGATCTCGCAGTACTCCTCAGCAATCACGAGCGGCATCCTCGGCACTTGCTGTGGAGGTTCTGCTGCAGGAGCTGATCCAGAGGCTGCTTGGGCAGGGTCGCCAGCAGCAGGAATTGTGTCAGGCACAGGCGTCGCTGTTGAAGGTGGCCGCACTGGCTCCGGAGGAGCTGCTGAGGAGCTTGATGCTGTAGATCTTCCCCAAGGATCAGCAGTCCATCCTCTGCCAGAGTAGCCCTGATTCCAATTCCAGCTTTGCCATTGGGCCTGCCCTCCCGAGCGGCTTGAGTAAGATCCATACGAACCCCATTGTTGCCCTCGGTTCCATCCACTGCGGCACTCAAAGGATTTGTGGCCATACTGACCGCACTTCCAGCACTCAATGGCCTGCTGAAAGATTGGTCGTTGTTGCTGACCATAACCCTTGCCCTTGCCCTTGGCTGGCTTCTGGATCGGGTCAAAGTGACGCCGGTATCCCTCTCGCCCTTCGCCAGTACCCGTCTTGGAGGACCTTGCCAATGGAAACTCAGCCACATCTGATGCGGTGGCTTCATCCACGAAGGAGTGCTCTTCACCCTTGATGTTATTATATTGTTCCTTCCACTGCCTCTTCGCGAAGTCGACGAGGTCAAAGAAACAATCTTGGGCTGAAGCCTGATCCACAGGTAACACTGAGCCAGACCAACCAAATAACATCGGCGTGGGTTCCCCCCTCGCTTTCAGCAAGTCCGCAGCAAGAACAGCAAATTGTGGGAGTGTAAAAACACGTGCATGATGTGCAACCATGGCTTCCTTAGTAACGTCCAACGGGAGTCGGATGTCTCTGTTGAAGTCAGGCATAAAAATCAAACGAGTGCTGACACCTGTTCCCAGCTGCTTTTCTCGCTTCTCTCGGGTACGGCCAACATCAGGGGCAATGCATTTTGCCAGATCCTCCAAAAACTGACAACAGTCAGGGGTTATCTGGCCAACCGCATTGTTGAACAAATAAAATGGGTCCTTCTCCATGCGGTCCTGGATCGATTTGAAGCCGAGCTTTGTGTACCTTCCCGCCTGTGTCTGAGCAGCGTCCTTGAGATTTCCGAAGTTACTTCGTCCAGCTCGACGTTGATCTGCTCGGGTGCGGTCAGAAACTCGCTGAGCACGTGGCTGCTTCTCAAAATCGATCTTGTCCAGGGAAAACACCTTATTGGTTTTCTTGGCCGAGATTTCCATCCGGCATACCTCTGTCGCAATTCTTCCATCCGACCAAGCAATCAGCCATTTGAAGCACGACTGACACTTGTGGGTGCCCTCAATGTTCTGTTCACCGCAGAAGTGGCATCTGACCTGCTGCATCTCAATCTTTGAGCTGTAGATGTAATCCTCAGCATTTGTTGAGCGCTGGGCCAGCCCTCCCGGGCGGCTTCCTTTTCCCTTGCCTTTTCCCCGGCCCTTGCCCTTGCGGATGGTTTCAGCATTGGACAAAGCACCAAAGGAGGCCATCTTCAACGTCACTTTGTCCTCGAAAGGTCCTGAAGTTCCTTCACGTCGACGAAGAAGTGGGGGAAGCTCTTCCGGAGAGTCGGTCATCTGCATCTGGCCTGGTCGAATGGACTTGCCGCTCATGAGGTAGGCCTTCAGACTGTCCCTGGCGTTGGCATACGGGCTCTTGGACAAGGCTTCTTTCTTCGGAGTGTCCTGGTCCTTGTGGGTCTTCATTTTGCTGTTGTACCCCACACGTGTGATCTCATAGGGGCGATTCACCCAGGCAAACTCCCGGTTGACAGCATCATATGTGCAAATGATGTTCTCGTTGGAGATCCAGTCAGGGCTTATGATTGCTTCGTCTGTGCGAAACAATCGGCAGCCGCTTTGGAC